AAAAAAAAAAAAAATCCCTTGTAGGTAAAAAGAGCTATTTGCTCAGTCAATTGAATTCCCCTCACAAAGCGACGCGGCAGCCCTGCAGCCCTTAGCACAGATAACTCTGAATGCTGTTGTCTTAAATTAAAAAGGCTCGCGGCGCCACCACTAAACTCTCTAAAATGAGTTTTCCTTATTCCTATTAGAGTCAAGGAGAAAGGATCATCTGTATTAACATACATTTGTGTTCATTTTGGCTCTCGTGAATAAATCACAGGGGGAAACAACACGGCTGTTTGTTGACCTATCAATCACCTTTGTTTCCTTGTGCGTCGCTGATCTGACTGTTGCTTGAGTCAAAGTCGCACACGGAGGCGTGATGTTTAGATTCGTGACATGGAGGTGATGAACTACATTTTGGTGTTTGGTTTCGGTGTCACAGAAGGAAACTCAGTGGCAGTTATAGGTGTCAAATATGTGATATTTTCATTACAGCATCATGTATTCAGTGTTCTAGGTTAATAGTGTTACAGTGGTAAATGAAAATATTTACTGGTTATGAATTATTTTAAATATTTCTGTATTAATAATAATATTTGTATTTATTAATTTTACCTCAGAAGATGTAGTTTTATGAAGAGCGGGAACATTGGCTAAGGTGTTTTTATTCCTCTGTGCCGGCGACAGTCGGAGCCGGAGGCATATTGTTTTCGGGTTGTCTGTCCGTCCGTCCGTCCCATTCTTGTGGACATGATATCTCAGTAACACCTTGACGGAACATCTTCAAATTTGGCACAACCATTAACCAGGACTTAATGATGAAGTGATTAGATTTTGGTGGTCAAAGGTCAAGGTCGTGGTGACCATAACAAAACACGGTTTTGGCCGTCTGAAGGCAGTATCTCTGTAACCCCTTGAGAGAATTTCTTAAAATTTGGTAAAAACATTCACTTGGACTCAAAGATGAACTGATTAAATTTTGGTGTGTGTATATATACTATATATATATATATATATATAGCTCCATGCTAGGGTCTGTACTTAGACACACTGGTGCTTTGAGCTAAATGTTAGCATGCTCACAACAACATTATATACTAATGTTTAATGGAGAAATGTTTACCGTGTTCACCACATTTGCTAATTAGCGCTAAACCACTGGTTTTGCAGGTATTTGGTCATAAACCAACATATGGGACAAATTAAGATTTTGACCTGATGATGGGGTTAGATGTGAAGTTATGGGAATCACAGTTATTACAGTTCATTCTGATGGGGACATGAATGTATGTAGCAAACTTCATTTCCTTGGATCCAAAAAAACAAACAAAAATGTCAATGTCATGGTGCCACATGAGGAAAAGTCAAGGGTTCAGAGTTCATCATCATCTGGGGACAACAAATCTCTGTGCAAAACTTTATGGGAAACCATCCAGTGGTTAGATATTTCAGTCTGGACCCCTGATGGGACCACACATCCAACCATCAGACCCTCATTACCATCTCTAGAGCCACAACACTAGCATGGCTAAAAATGTTTGAAATCTAATTCACAGAATAATTATTTCATGATCATGAGAAAAACAGATTGTTCTGCCAATTTTTTTGCCACAACTGACATTATTCTCTAGGGAAAAATTCGCTAAGCATCCTCTGCTCTTTCATAAATTACCACTTTAATCAGTCTGATGATGCTACAATTTAAACCATGCAGGATTAAACCTCCTCATCCTTTTTAATGCCTTCCACAGTCATCTTGAGCAAAGAACCCAACACCTTCCCGCCCCGACAGCACTGTACAAGCTGCCTGATCTTGCACCCGAGCGAGAGGGTGAAGAGACAATATGCTCATTTGTGAAATAATAAAATATGTCAATTTCACTTTCATCTGTAAGAATGTTCTCACCTCTCCGCAGCGAGTGCAAACGTCTGTAACGTGGTGCTCATGAGACACTCGGAGCTGTCAGAGGGCGTCAGCGTGCTCGACGACGACGGGAACGTGGTGGGAACATCCAGAGTAGCTGCCAGGCATGTATGTTGATTTGCTCTGAGAACGTAATACCTGGTGTGAATTTATCATGATCAATAAACACTGTCATGTTTGTAAATGATGAGGAATTAAGTTCACACCTATGTATAAACACATAACTGCAATTTTTGACTTTTTCTCTCAAAAAGAAAAAGAAAGAAGCAACAGTCTTTTTCTTTTCTTTTTAAGGTGTTATTTTATGATTTTTCTGACAGGCACTTCTGGAGACGGCCCTGACCAGAGTGGTGCTGCCCATGCCGATCCTGGTCCTCCCTCCCATGATCATGGCTGTTCTGGAAAAGTAAGAGACTCCTCATCACTTAATTTTAATCAGGCAAACTGCATGAGCTTCTTTAGACCTTAGAGAGAAACAATAAAAGGATTAGCATAAAAATATGTTTTAAAAACAGTGTCCCCCACGACATGGTTGGTCTACCAAAGTACACTGCTTTATTTTTCAACTGTGAAACGGTCCTATTCAGCAAATATCCTCGTCACGATACTTTCTAAAGCAATTTTAAGGGATTCTTATCAAAAATGTTTGTGTATGTTACATATTTATGTTAAGAAATGTCTGTCGGGCACTACATAATTAACAGGTGTTTTAAGGTCGTGGTGTTGGCCTGAAAAATCCAGTTTCCAGCAGGTAATAAAGCTTTGATGATAGAAGACAACCACGGTATGACCTCAGTGTAATACTGTACCTGAACTGCGACTTCCTGTACTAGCTTAATCATCATCCTGTGTAGCCACATTTACTTCAGCTCACAGTTTGGCAAAACACAGCAGGATGCTGTTTTGGCACGGAGAGAGTTGTCCCTGGGTTTTCTGCTGAAGGAGTTTTAGTTTCTAAAGGTGGCGCCCTTTTCTTTGTCCATTTAGCCGTTGTGTGCTTAAAGTGGCGTCTTTTTCTGTCTCTTTGAAATTCTGATATCGCTGCTGCTGCACACGTTGCAGGGCACAATGTGCCTCCGAGAATTTTTCATAGGAAAAAGAGACAACAAGCCTCCAGCGTTTGCAACAGCAACAACAAATGATTTTAGTACCTCTGCCATTATCAGTGTTATAAAGTAGCTTTTTGTCGTTTTAAAGAGTTAATTATGGCTTTAATGGCAGCAATAAAAGTGGTAAACCTTTTTGGTGTTCGCCTCTAATGAAAGTCAGATTAATTCACTAACACAAATGACTCCTAATTAAATGACAATTAAGAAATTAATAATAAAACTGTCCAAAATTTTAGTCACAAATATGAATATCTCAACATCACAGTTTCCTTTGTGCTCAGAACTGTTTGATAAGCCCACACAGTCGCTGAACCCTCTCCACCGTGAGATTCAGTGTTGTGTGATATGACTGTAATGATGCCTTAATGATGCAATGTGTTTATACGGACGTCCCGTGATCGATGGCCTGACTGTGCCTGCGGTGTGCCGAGGAATGCAGCCATCTTTGTAAATCCCTGACAGCACTTGTCCCGACTGCTCCGAGCAGGCGGGCTCAGACAGCGAAGCCAGCTGCCCAGGTGTGTTTGGGATTCCTGGCAGCTGAATGACTGCAAGGGAAGAGAGACAGAGAGAGAGAGAGAAAGGGAGAAAGAGAGAGAGAGCAGGGGGCTGTGAGGTTGGCTGTAGATGCAGGTGAGTAGTGCTCAGCTATCCTCCATGTCAGCTCGCCTTCACTGGCTCTCAATGGAGCGAGAACAAGGGGACAGAGATGGGTCCCTGGGCGGCCCCTCAATGATGGATTACACTGCTGAGAGCAGATCTAGCGCAGTGACAGCAGGTTCTGTTCTTCATGTGAGGTTGCAGACCCACAAGTGTATTGAAAACATTGATTCAGATTATTTTGTCTGATAGACATCTTGAGAAATTTGCTCAATAACACTTTGTTATTTCCATATATATATATACACATATATATATGTGTGTGTGTTAATGATATGTATTTATTTTAACCTGGAGCCAGGGCTTAAAGACTCTAGACAACACACAACCCCTGTAAAAACTTTACACACATTGAAACATTATTTGGTGTGCTTTGTTTTGTGCTTTGTTTTGTTGCTAGGTAGATTTTCCTCTCTTGTAGACGAAACTCTTCTGGCTCTAGCTTCATGTTCTAACAGACAAATGAAAGTGGGATTGATTTTCTCAAGAAAGACAGTAAGCACGTTTCCCAGAATGTCGAACTATTCCTTTTAGCTGGAATAATCAAAGTCACCTGACCTGGGGGCAGGCTTAGCTCGCGCAGTGATGTAACAGCTCCGGAGTAGAGATCAAGCAACAGTCTCTGTATTTCAGTCACCAACTTCACCAAACCTGTCGAGTGAACGCATCACGTGAACGTTTTCTGGCTGTTTCAGTGGCAGTTTTTTTCCTGTCGGCTTAATCTTACGTGGAGAAGCTCCCGGAAACATTTGGAATATCTAATCTTGCGTGAATAAGAGATGTTCTGAACATGCTGTTGACACTAACTTGGGCTGCACGATATGCAAGAAAAAAAAATCCAAATTTTGCGATTATTTTGGCAGATATTACCATCGCGATTTCAACTGAAATGGTCATTTTTGCCCGTTTCATTTTCACTGGGAAATAAAAAAAAATGTTGATGATATGATCTTTGTTGGGTCTGTACCAAACAAACATGTCCCTTTACGTCTGGAGAATATGATGTGTAGGCCGGGGCGTCTCTGTATGCTGCTAACAATGTGCTAACACATTTTATTTTTATCAAAACAGCTCCTGCGTTTTCTATTATATTTTGATTAATTGTGCAGCTCAACTATTAACTACTGAAAACTGTTGACTATTGAAGAAGAATTCATCTCTAGAACTAGACAACACAAGCCACCGTGGATATTTTGTGACTCCATTTGTTCGTGGCGACAGAGGCGCAGTCAGAGGTTCATGTAAACAGTTAAACCTGAGTACGACCTCAGTCAGAGTGTTGCCACTAGTCAGGTTATTCAGAGCCTGTGAATGCTGCCAGTTTTACATAAAACTGTGTCATTGAATTTGAGATAAAATTAAGTTTCCACCTGATTTTGAAGGTTCTCAGACTTACACTTGTGCCCAAACCTTCGCTTCCTCACATACCTCACAACTCCACTCTTCTCTTTGTAATCCAGTTCCCTAAAATGTGTATCTGCACATTTGTGTGTATGTGAATGTGTGTAGCCTAATTAAACCATGGCAGCCATATGTGTTAATGAGCTCCCTCATTAGGCAGTAGCTCTCCTCGTTAGGGGGAGAGGCGTCGCTGGTGGAGGAGAGATGGAGCGGCTCTTTCTCAAGCTCCTGCTGAGTTCGCTGTCCCACACACTGAAGAGGGGATTATCCTACGGAGGGCAGCGAGGAGGGAGGAGAAATATGGGCCGAGACGAGAAAATATATTTCTGGAGATAGAGCGATGTAAAAGCCCTTTTTAAAAAAAAAAAAAAAAAAAAAAAAAAAAAATCTGTCTCTTCAAATAGAGACAACAGCTTTTAAAACAAACAGGTGTAAGGGATTATACAGACAAAAGAGTCATTTTACCGAATGACAATTTAAAATTCTAAACAAACGACAATAAAAGCAAAACTGCTCTTATGATTTCTGTGTAGCAAATGGCAAATATTCAACTCTGAACTGGAGCTTTATGGTGTTGAATGTGACAAAACATTAGATTTTTCGATGGTTGCAACAGATTCAGCTGAACTGTCGTTTCCTGGATGCACAACTCACTCAGTATCACCATTTCACAGTGTAAAGATGCGTCTCATTGAAAGGTGGTAGCTCTTCATGGGTTCTTTTAAGCTTAAAGTTCATAAAGAGATGCCATTAAGGTCTGTCATGTAACATCTGGATTTCTAATGTTCTCACATTCATTTTAAATAGAAAACTTATTTTCTTTCAACTTTCTACCTCATTTCAGACAGTGGGTTCATAATGTTGTGAAGACATTTAGCTAAAGGCGTTAGCTGCCTGCTAAATGTTACTTTGCATGTATTTTTTTATTTTATTTAATTTATGTCCTAGCTGACTTGTATTTGTCATTTATTGGCGTTTTGCTGTCAGGACGGTTTGATGGTTGCTTTGCTCTAATCATCAATGTTTTCACATGTTTTCTGCCAGTGACCATTACATTATTGGCCAAAACCTAAAAATTGGTTCTAACAAATAAGTTGAATTGCCAGAATTCACACGATTTTAACATTCAAAAATAGCTTTATCTCTTCAAGGCTTCAGTTTTTAGTTGCACAGTCTTTGGAACTTGTGTTTAATAAATGTACAGTTTGTGTTCTTGTTGAACACACATTTCTTCACCAATGAGAACCATCTGTCTATCCTGTACATTTTACTGTAGAGTGGATAAAGTGAAAGTGTTTCTCTGTCCTTCTGTGTCCCACCAGGCTCCCCCTCCTGCAGAGACAGCGGAGGCTCGTCCTGCCCGTCCACAGCCTGGTGTGTCTCGCTGCCTTTGGCCTGGCTCTGCCTCTCGCCATCAGTCTCTTCCCACAGATGTCCCAGGTACTTCACCCCATGAACGTCCTTCCTCTTAGATCCAACAGGACATCATTTGATAACTGCTTCGTCTGAAGTTCAGTCTGTGAGATTGATGTTTAATTTTGTCTCCATTTTTGGTCTGAAGTGATTTTTGCTTTGGAGCTTCTGCACTGCAATAATCATCCGTCAGTAAAACCAAATACAGGCCACTACTGTGGGTTTTCTACTGTTGAATATTCAGCTTTTGCATCTTCGTAGTTTTGGTGTCACTGCTGGACTCGCTGCACCTGCTCATGCTTCCTATTGAGTTTGTTCTTTGATACAAACAAACAAACAGCTGTCGCAGCTAGATGCTAAAAGCAAATGTAAAAACCTTCATGAGCTGGAACAGAATTGGTATTGTATGTTTTTGAATTAACACATGTGATTCACAGTGCAGATTCTCAGAGAAAAAATCTGATAAAAAACTGATTTAACTCATTAAATATCGGAGTCAATGTCATATCTGTTGATCCCAAGAGCTCCTTTTATTCATATTTGTTTTTGCTTCTTTAAATGCTAACTGCTTAGCTTGGACCTGCTGTGACTGAGTTTCAGTGACTGATGTTGATGACCGGAGTCGCCTGACCTCCTGAACGTTTCCCATTGAGCTTCACGGAGGCTCTCTCCTAATGAGGCGTAGCCCTCTGAGACATAACCTGCTCTGTTATGATCTGCCCAGAGTCTCTCTTGCCTTCAGTCATTGATGCCATCCAGGCTAGCAGGCTGCGATCTAACTTTAGCCTCGTTGGCTCAGTATGTGTCATTCTACTCATTAAATGGCTACGGCATGATGTTGTTTTTCACTCCATCTCTGTCTTTGTCTCGTCTCTGCCAAATGACTCGCTGACACAAGCCAACCGGCTCTGGCTTTAAAATGTTTAGGATTTAATTACCACTGGAAATAGCTCAGACAGCCATATGGCAAAAAACTTCAGACATATGTGCCGCCAACGGTCCTGTGAAAAGCTGCCTCCCGTTCCACAGAGGGGCCTGTTTTTCTCTCACAAGTCCTTTTTGCACTTTCGCAAGGATAGCAGATGAAAAAAAAGAACTCCCCAAAAAGCAACATGAATGCTCGGCTCCCCTGGACCCCCCGCCTACTCAATTTGTCCCACTTCCCCATTTCACACCTACCAAGATGTCTGATTAGGATTCTGCCTCCAACTCCAACAGCCATCTGTCTCTAGTTCAAATATTAGGAGATGCAAACCTCAAATTAGACTTTAATCTGCCAAATTGGCTTTTTGCACATTAGCAGTAAATATGGAACATTTAAAGCCTTTAAGAAATATTTAGTTACAAATGAAACGGCTTCAAATCTTTAAGTAGCAGCTCATGTGGATGATTAAGGCGTGTACAGCATACTCGCATACAGGATGTAAACTTGTTATATCTGACAGCTTATGCCAAATATCTCCGCTTGCACTGTTGACCTTCTTGTTCTGCTTTGATTCCCACAGATCAGCGTGAATCAGTTGGAGCCAGAGATCGCCATGGCAACAGATTGCAAGATTGTGACATACAATAAAGGCCTGTGAGTGATCCCTGCAGCCCGACGGCACGGTTCAAGCTGCCAGAGAATGAATTATGGTAAATTTGGCTGCATTAGCCTCGGAGGATTTAGCATATGTTTACAGGGAACGGCGGTTCATGTTGGGAATACATGTTGTTTACACCGAGACAGTGGTTGTTAATTGAGAAATAACACCAAGACATATTGTGATATCGGAAAGTAAACGTCATGACACCTCAGAGTGTATTATCGTGGTTTTAACATGGAGTCTGCTATGTTATCTGCTGTGTCTATGTTGTAGCTAGAGTGAGCTAACGGGGGGAGGGTAACAGCCTGCTTAGGCTAGCCAGCCATGTTAGCTTACAAGCTTCTTTTCCTAATTAATTAGAGATTAATTTTAATAAACATGATCAAAATAGGTGGATTAAAACAGGAGCAGGTTATGTCTAAATGATTGTAGTTGTGGGTGAGATTGTGTATCTAAATACTGTGAATCAAATCAGGATAAATGAGCAAATGTGTTTTTGTGAATGTTGTTTTGTTTTTTTTTCTTCTTCTTGTTTACAATTCAGAGGTTCCTGACCTTTGTTTTTCTTCTCTTGATCCCTTAATATGAAGTAATGCACTGTCTTTGCAGCCCGGTGTCACAGGTTCGATACTAACTGTGAGTTTTGATTTTTTTTGAAGCACACTTTTTAGAGGCCTGCAAGGGTAAAACTACAGTATCGCACGAGAATGAAGTAAAGTTTAGAGAAAAGTCAGAAAAAGAAAAATCTGACTCCAGTGTTGGCTGCAGAAATTCTAGCCAAGTTATTTTACTAAAATATTTTTAGCAAGATATGAGGTTACAGCAGATAATTCCTCTGCAGAGTATCACTTTACTATCTGTTGCATGATTGAAAAGTTTAGAAAGTAAACTTTGATCAGTATCTGCTTTTAATGCGTCCAATTAAAATGTGACACTGGGTTTGTTTGGTTTTTTTTTTGATACCACAAAGGCAGGTATTGAAAACTTCATTATTCAAATCCCAGTATTTGCTTTGGCTCCTTCCCACTGGAATCTGGAGGCTGAGTCACTCTCATGTGGTAAAACAACAGTTGGTTTGAGTTTGGCGTCAGGAAAAATCTTCTTTAGACATCTTTTAGATTTTGCTTCCAACTAAAGTGCATTTACGCTTTAAAACTTACTTTTGTATTTTGAATACACAAATATAAAGTAAGAATATTTTTAAGTCTTAACCTTTTTAAAGGAGTTTTTTTTTTTTTGCTCCATATATGTTTTTGTGAAAGCACTATTTTAATAATGCCTGCTCTGTATTTGTGTATGTATGTATCTGCACTTGATTTATATAAACTGTCTGTCTTCAAGTAGCCTATTATCTTTTGTCATGATCTGTGCGATTAGTATGTTTGCCCGGTTGCTGGGGGAACGTAGCACGGTAGGCTGCGATGCCGCGTAATTCAACAAGAAGCCACATGCAGATCAGTGGAAGATGCTGGGTGTAAATTGTGGAACATAATTCAGGTGAGACAAATACAAACAAAATACCATTCATAAAGTATTCATAAACTGTTACATATATGCATCTGATTTCTCTTCTTTTGATTAATCTGTTTCTGAGCATCACGTTTAAATATGTCTGAAGGATTTCACTCTTAGTTTTTGGGAAATGTTGCCTCATGGGCATTACAGAGGACCCCAGTTCAACAGTTTAACTCATAAATTCACATTATTAATCGATATATGAGTTGAGGTTTAATACAAAAAAAACACATTTGTAAAGATGTTTTTTGCATTTTTAAAGTTATGGATAATCTTGTTTTTTTTAAATTATGTACAACTTTATACTTTGTGGAAATAAATCTTATTTTATCTCTAACGCACTGTGTTTAACTGAGAATTTATTGCAGATATCTCAAATTAGGTAATTTCAGTAATGAGCAGAATGCAACTTTGTTTTTTCCAGTAATTTCCAAAATTATTTAAAGTGAGTCTTTCACTAATTAGGTTCCGTACTTTGTGATTCAGTGTGTTTACCGCTGCTTGACTGAAACTGATCCAATGTGACAACTGTGACTGCGCTGCATGATTTATCACCTCACGTGCAATTTTATTAACCAACAATAAAACACATGTGATTTGTGGTGTTAGTGGAGAAAATAGGAGGCTTCAGTCATCCCAACAGAAAACAATAATGAGGAAACCAGCCGTCGTGCTTCACTTCAGGTCTCCGACACCTCTGCAGCAGCAGCAGCTCCCTGCGCCTCCAGGGACACTCTTGTTTTTCATGGCGGATTCCTGCTCTCATCCTGAACTCTCCTCTCTGCTGACTCAGGCGACAGGAGACGCAGTGTTTAGGGAGACGGGCGTGATTGTTCCAATTAATTGTTTTCCCTAACAGACAACTGAGAGGCGCAGCTCTCGTTAGTCGCTGCTGACCTTTTACCCAACTGAGATGTGATTGGCCCTAACCACACCTGCCTGTCGAGAAGATGGTTGTAGAGCCTCACGGGTCAGGGTGAGCTGCTGTATTGGTTAAAATACACCTTTGATGATGTTTATTTGGACAATAAGGAATGCTCAATCTCTATCTTTTTTTTGTACCGTGTGTTTGCACCTGCAGTGAGTATAGGATGTCCTGGAAACTCAAAACAAGGCATGTGGCCCCTTTTGCAACTGCAGATGTCTGACGCATTGTGCGCCTTTGTGAAAAGGTGAGACTACTGCAGCATGTTTGACTTGTCTGCCTCCCACCTTTTCTCTGCTGCCTCTCTGGCTCTTGACTTACAAAACATCAGGGTCAGACGTCAGGGCTCATCTCTAAAGGCTCGGGGTCATTAGGAGGAGATTCCTTCCGTTTCTCTTGACAGATGATTACTGAGGCGGTTGGTGAAAGGGGTGGCGCACAATAGTGACTACTTTCCCTCTTTCTTTTTTTTTTCTTTTCTTTTTTTTTCAGAGCTCGGATCCTTTGGATGGGAATTATTTCTGTGTCCCCCTTCTGCTGGAATTCAGAGGAAATACCGGCTGATAAGTAACACACCTGACACCTGTGCAGCTGTCCTGCACCGTTCCTGACACCTCAGTCTCAAGCCATGGCTCCCAAACTAAGAGAAACCCTCCCAAGGGGTTGTTAGATTTTTTTTGGGGGGGTGTAATGAGACATATTTATACAATTCAAATTTAAACTTTTAGCTATGAGGGATACTTTTTCAACTCTAGTTTACAACATAAAACAACATGAAAATGGAAAATTCCTCTTTGGTTGAACTGTTCACCATTTCATGTGCCACGAAGGCCCGAGTGTCTGCAGGTTTTCATTCCAATCAAACACTGCAGCAGCATGTTTCACACTGATTTCCTCATGCAGCTTCACGCGGAGAGGAGGAACTAATGAGTGATACCTGCAGCTGTAATGGCTGCTTGGAATGAAAACCTGCAGACTCTTGAGCTTGGTTGACTTGTTGTAAAAAAGAAAAAAAAGAAAACGGTACCTGAATTATATAAAAACATTACATTTCCCATCAGAGAAATAGTTTTTGTTTTTATTTCTAAAACATCTTTTTTGTAATTACATGTTCTGCTTGAAAAGTATGTTCTCATGTTTTATACCACACACTGCGCTCAATGAAATTAGGCAAATGCAGACATTCAACAAATGGCGAGATGTCATCCGTCAGTGACAAATGTGGCATGGCAGACGAAGCACATAGCTGTGAACTTGCTTTTATTATGTGGCACAACTCGCCCCTAACACCAGGGGTCTCTGCAGCTTCTCATCTGTCCCAGAGTCATGCACAGCTGGCCATGAATCGCCTCTCTGTGGAGGATCTTCATTAGGGAGCGTAACAGAGCGCCGGAAAAGGCTCTCAAGTCACAAAAGTTAAAAAAAAATCAAATCATGCAGAGACCGACAGATTTGCATCTTGTCTTTCTGACACACGGTTCATTTCCTGTTTTGTTCTTCTGGCCAGTCACCAAGCCGTTCTCCGACTCACTGCGTGGATTAAAAGTGTGCGACAACACGTTTCTCGTCATTGAGGATAAAATTTAAATTAACACGGTACACAGGTGGCGGAGTGGGTGGGTTGAGCAATGAGGTGTTAATGACCTAAGCAGGTGGTAAAAACAGCTTTAATGAAACAAATAGCCTCTTTCAAAAACAACCTTTCATACAGTGGCCTATGTACAATAAAAAAAAAAACAAAAAAAAAAAAACACTATGATCGAGGTTGACGTTGTTTCTCTTCATCTTTGGTTGTCACACACCAAAGATCATTAAACGATGGAGGGATGTCTCCTCATCAAGAGTCATTCAGGATGGATGTCATTAAATAAGATGTGTTTTTTTTTTCTTTCTTCCAGTGTCACTGAGTATAGCACCTCGATGAAGAGATGTGTGGTGATCACATATTTAGTCCGTGTGCGTCTTCCTCTAATGTGTCTAATTATACTTAATAATATTACATAATAAATAGTGTTGGTCCTCTGATGCGTCAGAAGGGGACGCGGGTTTTAGGGCAGCGTTGTCGGGGGGTTGGACCGAGGTTTTAGTCCTCTGAGGTCACGTCAATGTCCTCGGAGCTGGCCTGCTTGGTGGCGATGCGCCATCTGTTGATGTGGTGGTTCCCCTTCTTCTTCTGCTGGCTGTCTGGTCCCTCCTCCTCCAGCTTCTGCCGCTTGTACTTGGTCCGCCTGTTCTGGAACCACACCTTCACCTGGGCAGAAGAATACACAGGTTTAAATGATGACGGCAACGCACATTGTGTCATGTCAGAGTAGCAGGTCAAACTGATCCCAGTGAGTGAAATATAAACAATATGCAATAGACATTTCTTAAGGTGGACAACTTCAAAGTGTTTTGGTTCTAGTGGCCCATTACTAAATGTAATGGACTCATCATTGATGTCTTTAATAACAGGCTACATCTAATAATTATTTTCATCATCCATTAATCTGCAGAGTGTTTACACAGTCCATTGATGACTTGCTTTGGCTATAAAATGTAAAACATTTGCAAATGAAAAAAGCGAGGTGAGTCCAAGGTGATGTCTCCAAATGTTTTTGAGCAATAGTCCAAAACAATGTTCTAAAACAGAGAAAAAGCAATAAATCTTCACATTTAAGAACCCGGAACGAGAAAACCTTTGGTAATTTTGTTTGAAAAATAACATACACAATTAATTGATTATCAAATTAGCTCGGCTTCGGCTTATCGATTAATTGTTTAATTGTTTCAGCTCTATTTGTGAGTTTCCTACGACAAGCTTAAATCTCTGTCAGTTGGCACAACAGGCTCTTTAAGTCAAAATAAAAGAAAATTTACTTTCACACTCACTGCTAATTTATATTCTGTTTTTTAAAAATTAAAATAATGCATAGAGTTCTCATTTACTCCCAAAATCTGAATATATTCACCCCCTGGAAACCAGTGTAGGCTTTACCTGCCATCTTTTCTTTTTAACAATCCTACAAAACTACTCTTCTCTCCACAACTGATCCCCCGCTCCTGTCTAAAATTAATTCAATTGTTAAATTTAACTGTTATTTAAATCTTAAATGGCAACTTCTCTTTGCGTCCATGACTGAAAATTGCATGAATACATGGGGAAAGGCCAACAAGCTAAATAGCTCTCTCGTCTGGCTTGTGTTCCTAGTGTGACCTTGGAACATGAGCTTGGCTGAGTAACCTATATGTGGTCAGGATCCATTTTTTAAATAGCAACAAGATCGCTGGGCTTCATAATGTTAGCTTCCTTCTCTCTCTTGCCTTTCTCTAGGCCAAAGGCTCATTTCACATACCAGCTTCAAGAGCTGGATGGTAGTGCTTTAGTTTGTTTGTCTACAGTGGTGCTGCCACAGGGAACTATCTGGAAACAAAGTGGGCTAGTTTACCAGCCACAGGAAAGGTGCAGCAGTATTTGATTTTATCATTTTCATGAATTAGTATCAACTCTCTTATTATCTTGTTGGATTATATAACTAAAGTTGTCATCTCTGCTCCCCATTGTTTTTTATTTTGTTGTTGTTGCAGCACATACTTAAACTCAAGACCAAATAAACTTTGTGTGAGTTAATTAACATTCAGTTCACTGTTGTTATAATTAGCATAATGCAATTGGTGCTTAATTGCAAGCCTCCTATTGACTGACACAAAACTTAAACTTGCAAGCAGCATTTATCCATATTGCTGACTCTTTTTATTGCCTATTAGGCCTAATTGACACCCAGATAATGTGGACTCATTAAAGTTCAGCATCAATAATATTTACTCGTCTTTATCCTATAGCATGCATGAATTAAACATCTGTAAGAGACTAACTGAACTGTAGCCATGTCTCGTGTGACTGGAGAAAGGGAATTCTTCAAAGTGGATTGCCCAGATTTTCATATGTTAAAAAAAACTTTGAATTTCTTTAAAAAGTGCACGATACAACACTGTCAGTCTCAGTATTAGCAACAGTTTTGTGTACTGTGTTGCAAACTGTGGGTCTGATATGATATGATAAAATGCTCTTATTTTTATACAGCCAATTCAAAAATAATTTATAATTTCCTTAGTATCATTGTAATAGACTCATTTTTTAACGTTACAGCAAAAATACTCAGATAATTCCTTATTTGTAAATAACTTAGGCTACCTATATTTCAAACCATTGTAGTTAATACCTAAATAAGCTATTTAAAACAGACATTAACAGTAGTTGAAATAATAATCACCTTAAGTTAAGCTTGCTACCTTTTAATTTTGCTGCTTTAAATTGAATTGATTATACTAACTATTATTATTATTATTATTATCATCGTCATCATTTTATAATTGACATTACCGAAAATCTTAACTTCATATTTTGGCTTTGAAATAAATGTCATTTTCACACTGATATTTCCATCTTGCTTAGTTACCCCCCATGGTTACTGTTCGGGGATGACTTGCCTTTATTTAATTAATATGTTTAATTGAATTATCCTCTTAATATTTCCCACGTACGCCCTTTACTTTCTGTCAGACAGATACAGTCTCTCCGTCGTCCATTCGCGACGAGAAACGCAGTAATGTTAGGTACATTTTTCTCATAGTGGAAATATTCCCGTGGTTTATCGCGACACTTGACAGTAGCGTGAGCGCCAATCTCACGGAATAGAATGTTGTTACCATGGAAACGCAGCTCTCAGTAAAGTCAAGTTAAAAGCAGAAATTGTTAATAATGAGACGATTTTAGATCTTTAAGGGTCGACTTCTTATTTTTTTCGAAGCAGTTAAAAGTGAGTGAGAATTAAATTAGCCGTGTTTGAGAGAAGAAACTCAAACTCGAACATCATAAAACTATAGGGGAAAAGTGCGTCGTTGCTAGCATGACGTTAGCTTAACTTGCCTGTGTTTCAGATAAACTCAAGCTGTTCGCGAGCTGCTTCCTCTCGGCTCCCACCACATAGTGATTCTTCTCGAAGGCTCTCTCCAGACGGAGGAGCTGCGAGGGAGAGAAGGCCGTCCGGATGCGTTTGGGTTTCCTGGCAAAAGGACCGTGGAGGAGCAGGCTGTCCTGGGACACATCGTTACCTGGAACGGGAAGGGGGCGTCAGTCGAGACTGGAGAAGGTAACAATATTATAACGCTTTGTTTTTTTTTTGACTGGACAGTGTGCAGCAGGTTGGCTGTCAAGTGTGTGTGACCAGTCTTATAAACTAACCAATCAGAAACAGCGTGAACAGTGTTAATAGACCTGCTCTGAGTCTATAAGACAATATGACAAATGAAGCTGTAGATGTTGTTATTATGGTAATGGAAAGCAGAGGTCAAGCGAAATTAAAAGACTCTTCGTTATTATTATTTATTGTTAATTATTATTTTTATTATTACTAGTTGTATAAAGTAAATATCAGAAATTAAATATGCCTATTTGCTGGTGAATGCTTGTAATATAAGTTTTTGTCAAATTATTTAAATACCTGAACTCACACTCTACCAACAGCATTAACAAAGCGACCTGCGTGTTTCCATGAAACATCCCTTTTCTATTGTTTCTCTTTCCTTTATTACTACAAACCCTGCCTTTTAGCTGCCTATCTTTAACGCATGTTGGGGTGGGCACATTTGAACGTGGCCTTAGGCAGACGGAGAAGCTTTACAAGTAGTTTCTCTGTATTAAAAATGGAGTAGAAGCCTAATAAAAACAATTTAGATCTAACTATAGCCGTTTATTTATTTTTTTCTCACTATTAAGTTGTCCGATTACTATTAAACTGGTTCAGAAGGGTTCAGCCAAATATAGCTTATATTAACCAAACATAAATGAGAAAATTGACATTATATATTTATTTGATCAAATAGCTTCTAATACAGCCGGATAAACGACCACATTTAAATATACTGTATTTTATAGCACACAGGCTAAATTAAGATGAAGTGTTTTGATAGTGTTTTGAATGAGCGAGAATATGTTTTTTACTGTGAATAGCGCTTAATTAACTGACAACGAATAAATTTTCACCCTGATCTCTTTTAGAATATTTTTTCAAGCAGGTGTAAGATCTGAAGCAGAAAACGACAGGTTTTTTTTTAAGGGTAAAATATTCCAGAAGGCTGTTGCTAATGCGCACATGAAGTAGGCGACTGAATTGGAAATATAATGGTGACCTTTTATTTTTAAATATATATTTATTTATTTTTTTAACCTTTTTATTTCATTTTTGTCCTCTTGCATCCAGTAAGAAAGTCCACAACAAAATCCACCAGAGGTCTTTATGGGATATTTATTAATTAAACTATATTGTAATTAGGATACATCAAACTGCCAGTGTGGAAATATAGGTGGATATTTTATTATAATAATTTAGGGGCATTTTATGGATTTGTGTCATTCTGACTTTAGTGTAATATATATATATATATATATACACACTTCTGTCATACAGGACCAGTTAGTCATGCAATAAAGTACAATATGAAATTAAAAGTACACTTTGTTAAAACATGCCATAATAGGTTGTAGAGATGCATTTACTGAGTAATAGATGCACAGTTGTTTGTCTGGTAAATAAATCACTGCAGGCTGAGTTAAACCCTTTGCTGTTGTAATGCCTGTATTGGATCTTCAGATTTGCGTTTCTGTTCCCATAATACTGAACTTATTATCATGGATTTTTATCTATTGTGCCTCTATAGCCTGGATGTTGTTGTGCAAGATATTTTTTTTTTTGCAGTGCAATTGTAGCCTAACCCAGGGCGAGTTTTCTTGTATGGAAAAAAAAAATCCAGCTCAGAGCTTATCTTCTCCTGGCTGTGGCTTTCTGAGAGTAGCTGCAGGGCGAATGAGAGTGGAAATATGAGAGCAGCTCGACAGCCTGCTGCAGACCCGGTGGCCTTGTCGTTTATACTATCTGGCTGCAATTTATTGTTCAAACAGGAAATGTTCTCAATATTGGCAATCATATCATGTTCGAAAATGTCATGTCCAATAACATCCAGCTGTCTGTAACTTCTCAGAAAGCAGAGATTGGACAACTTTTATCTAATAGTCATGAAGTTGTGTTAATTAATTTTGAATTATACAAACACACATGTTATGAATTTCTCCAAACAGTAAAACCCATAGATCTATAAATTCAAACAAATGCAGAGCATCCTGTTCGTTTTTAGGCTGACCATTCCAGGAATGAATAAAGTTGTATGATCTTTAAGTAAAATTAAAACCTGCTTCGTCATATTTGAATGTTCTAAACGATGGTGTTGTATCTCCACATCACATACCTTGAAATCTGTGTCCGAAAAACCTGTTCCGTAGGACCCAGGGGTAGAAGTTGAGCGGGTCTCGGTGTTGTGTCCCGAAGAAGTGCGGATGCTGTAGGTGGGAGCCTCCGAGCTGGTGTGGAGCCACGGTGAGGGAGGGATGGTTTACCGTCTCTGGGAACACCAGGTCCGGGCTCTGGTAGAGGGACCTGGCCGGTGGACCCTGGTAACCGTTCATTAAGGCATCTGTCGTCGGGTTAGAGTAACTTAAAGCCGTCGGACGGATGGGATCCTCGGCTGTTAGAGGGTTCTCTTTGGCCACCAGAGACTCTATCGTGAAGCAGCGCTTTCCTGCAGACGAAAACATCATCTTGTGAAAAGAAATAGAAACCAACACCAAAGGAAAGTGATCAATCGTTTCCCTTCCTCTTGCTGGAAAAGATAACCCCCCCCCTCTCAAAGATGCATGATCAAAGATGGAGGGTGCGAGGAGGGTTTTGCACACAAACTCAACAGTGCTGCAAATTGCCCTGATCCATGGAGTCTGTACGCACTCGGAGGGTTTCTGTGCACAAGTGCGCACCAAGTAAAGCGCCTCCGAGCTTCCATGTAGCTTGACGCTGCGCAGGGAGAGAGCTGATTGGACCACAGCACCTGCCAATAGGTCTCCTCAAGTACCTGCTTCATAGATCACACAAGACCGGGCGGCTTAGTTACAGAGACACGCTGAGAAAACATGTGTGCTCCAATTAATGGGTCATTGTGTGTCCTATTCAGCCTTAATATCTCGTTTTTCTAAAGGGAAAACAATCTGCCGGTGGGGGTGAGAAAGTTCCACTTGTTTCAGTGCAGGTTCAGTCGTTTTCTGCAGCAGTGTCAGCAGCATAGTATCTTGAAGCCTGTATGTCAAGAAATTAAACCCTGTTCAGGAAAATTACTCATGGAGACAAGTGGGATTCTTCACCCTCAACTGACTACCTGAAGTTACCTGACGTTTTTCCAAGGGCTTTAATAACATTTAGAGCCCGTTTCATCATCATTATACAACGATAGAACGTGTTACTGGAAGTGTGTGAACCACCAAGAATATATATAGACTTCACATGCTTTTACTCACCTGTAATATGCGTTTAAAGGCGAAACAGAAAAACACGGTAAAGGCTGATTTACTTAAAGGTCAATTCATTTTTCTCTCCGCTCGGCTGTTCTTTATTATTTCAATCTATATATATATATTTTTTTTTTTTTCATTAGTTTTATTCGTGTAATTCAAACATATTTTAGCAATTCGTTGTTTCTGCTGAATCAGATTTATATCCAGGTAAAACTGCAGCACATTGTTCTCCCACTACTATAAACGGTGTCTCCTCTCAGTGTTTGCTCTGTAAAATTATAAGTTTTTATTTTGTGGATTTAACGTTTTTTTTCTTGGTGCAACACATGTTCCACTCAGTAGCTATGTTTATCAGGAAAGGAAATAAATATGGGCAGCATTGGATTTATTTTTTTACTCGTTTTTTGTTACCGCTATAATAATAATAATAATAATAATAATAATAACAATAATAATTATAATAATTTGATTGTCCGGTCAATGATCAAAAAATCCTCCAGTCTGTTACTGGTGGACTGTGTTCATGTTGATATGTCATTTAGTAATTACTTTGTCAAAAGCAAAAATTTAGTTTTTATCCTGAAACCAAAACGTGAGATAATTTCACTTTTTAATAGTTTCAGTAGTTTCAGGATTTAAGCGCAACATGTTGGAAAACAGACTAAATGAGACACCATTCTACTGGCATCAAGAAAATGATTTGGCTCAGTTTGTTCTCAATGAGCTCAGTGTAGCAGCAGGTCGTCCTGCAGACAGATTGCATGGTCCTGCAGGAGAAAACAGCAGGGAAAGAGGAAGCTCGGAGGCTGACTGGTCCCCCGGCGCTCCGCTTCCATGGCGCGCTAACCAAGTTGATCATTTACCTCTTAAAACGCTCGTTTGCTGAGAAGTTGCATTAGAAAATCATTACCGATGGAAATTATGAGGTAAAACAAGTCGTTGATTAGGCGTTTAGAGCTAAAGGCTCCTAAAGACGGCGGTAGGTTCTGTCAATGGCTCTGTGTCCAAAAAGCGCCCAATGTTTCCTCCTCCACTTTAACTTCTTTCAGCACAGTCCTCAGTGAAGGACTGTGTGGACAGATAAACATCTACATGTCTTTTCTATGTGGCTCTGAGCACAGTTTCTCTGGAAATGTATTTCCTCTGTTGCACGACTCATAAGAGCCACTGTTGAAATTAACAGGCCGATAAATAATTTCCATCCTATTAAAAATGCTTGTTTTTGTCGATTATTTTTGTCGAATTGAAAAGATTGCAGAAAAAATGGAAGAATGAATGGGGTTATATTTGCTTCAGGATACAATTTTTTTCATTTAAACTAAATGTCCTGTTCGAAACTATTATGTTTTGTTGTAAAGTTACATTATAAATCCTTAACCATAGTGATTGAGATTAGGAAGAACACGGTATTGAAGATGGTGCAAGAAATAATGAGAAATAACTCAGAATAAAGAGCGATCAGGCTAAGTCAGGACTCGGTCGCAGTCATTCTTTGTTGCAGGATTTTATATTTAAACCGTCTTTCTTTTCTTTCTTTCTTTTTTTACCTGAGACCGCAGCAGCAGGAACTTGAGGGCTGGCCGAGTTTAACGATGAAAGCCTGCGGGCCTTTACGCACTGACCCTGATCTCTGCTGGTTAATAAATGATCAAATCGCTCTGCATTAACAAAAACAAAGCAGGGCAGTCTACCGTTGTTCCGTACCTGCTGTTAGTTTTCCCCTCCCCGAGGCTGCGGAGGAGAGTCTGACCACAGTGATCTTCATCTCAAACTGTGGAAATGTCTTCGCTTTATTGTTAAATTCTTCTGTATTTGATTGTAGTTTAATATTACTGAGATATCCTGAGAGACTTTTAGAGGCGACTTCTGACCTTTGATGTGGTGTAGCCTTCTTTTTGGTTGTTTAATACCCTTGAACTTTCCTGTATAACAGCAACAAAACAATATTTAAACGTATTGTGTTATTCTGCCCTATATATGGTCCACACTGGATGGCATCAGATTATATATTAATAATAGGTTTGCTGCAGTAAGGGAGAATGGGTTCAGTTGTGACACAGGTTAAACATTGTCCAATTAAGTAAACTAAAAGAGAGAATAGTTAACAAAACATTATGAAGGACAGCTGGTTAAGGATTTGACAGGAAACACTTGCCTCTATTTTCAGTTTTCCATAGAGCCACTCTGTCTAAGTGGTGAACAAATTATAACAATAAAACTTTGTATTAACTTGTTTTAAACTTTCCCAAACTGTTATTTTCACATCATTCTGGGAGAAAGCCAGAAAAAAAAATCTCTAAACAACTCAGATTATTGTTTAGTTTGTAGCGTCATTAAAAAAAAAAGAAAGATTGAGAACATTGGCTCAGGAAAAATTTACAAATTTCAAGTTTACATTTGATCCCTGGTCACTTTTTATTCGACATATTTGCATATGTAGAAAGATAGTGCGATCACTCACCTTCCAGAGAGTCCAGGGTACATATCTTAAAAGTAAATAAAGCAGTTCGACAATTAAAAACATCAGTCAGTGCAATGTGTTGATGAAGTGCAGAAATATTTAGATATTACACTTTTTTTCTCTAATAATTTGAGAAAATATATTTTTAAAATGTTATGAATGACTGTGACTCTGGCTCCTGTACAGTTTTTGGTAATAGTTGAAAACCAGATTTCCTGACAAACAAGATTAAAGTCCGCTCTGATCAAACTGTTCACCCACATCATTGTCCAAAAATGTTCATTCTGCTAGTTAATGGTCAGTTTTAATTGTCTTCAGTGTTTGTTTTTGGGGTTCAGTGAACTGGTCCAAAACAGAGACCACTATGAAGACAGAAGACACAGTGTAAGATAAGTGCTGCCCTCTAGTGGACTGTGTCTAAACTAAGAAAGTCATACTAGTTTAACTCTAATATTTACATAGGCTCTGATAGTATGAGTGCCTGGACTTAATGGTGCGTTCATAGTGACAAATGTAATCCCCCATAACAAACATAGCGTGATCTCATCATTATGTGACTATCACACATTTTGAGTTGTTGCATTAACAAAGATTTATTCACAAAGGTTGAAGATGTTCCTTATTTTAAGGTGTAAACATGACACCAGAACCCTTTAGTATGTTATAACTTCCCAAAAATATTCCCAGTGACCTTAAAAAAGTGGCAGCTGTGCGAAACAAAACTCTCTTAGTTCAAACGTCTACTATTAAAAAAAATCGTGTTTGATGAACACTACTTCCAACAGTGAAGGCCAGCAGCTAGAGACGTGATGTGTCATTTGAGCTGTGAAGGGGAAACCTCCACCAGTCCACTAAACCCAATTCACCCAGTTCATGTGAGGATATTGTTTTTAGGCCAATGCTGCCCTCCAGTGGCTGAACTGAGGCACAGCACTGTTCAGAGGATTAGAGGTTTCCTGCAGAGGTCAATGGAAGCCTAATAATAATAATAATAATCCTTATTATTTCCAATCCAACTGTTCAATCCTAAAACAGAAAATGCAAAATTATCAGTATGTGATATTACACAACAATTTGTGATCTTTCTACAAATCAGTAAATGGCTGTTGCAGCACGTTGATGATAATATGAAATTTAATATTCAAATGAACTTTTCCAGAAATTACTGTTTAATTCTCTTTTTGTCTTCATGCTTATAACCTTCCTGTAATTTACCACTACACTGTTTTCAAGGAAGGAGAATCCTGCATAAACTAGATCATCCACATTTATTTTCCTTTACTAAAATACACATTAAAATGTACTAAATACACCTCAATAGATTCTTTATTTGGTTTGTCCCCAGCCTCTGAAATACTTTGTCATTGCAGCAGTAAATGATTCCACACCAATATTCCTTTAATGAAATAATTCAAATAGTTTAATGTGATTATTATGGTCTATAATCCTTCCAGTATATGTGATTAATGATTGGGATCAGGATTTATTTCTTTATTAATTGTCTCTGCAGTCTTTTCCCGCCTGATGTGTCTCCGTGATGTCGATTAAAACTATCAGACTAACTCACGGCTCAGCTGAAACTCCGGGTTTCTCTCGCACCTCCCGCGTTCATTAATAAACTAATTGGCCATTTTGTTTCGCATTAGCGTTGTGTGTTCAGCTAATCTATTCCACTTAAATACTTGGAAAATTTCACCCCATTATAACGAGATGGGAAAAGTAGCACGTCGCTGCGTTTGTGCCACCTGCATGAGAAGTGGGGTCGCTTAGCCACCTGTACGGGCCCCGCTCCTCCACCGGCTTCCCTCCTCAGCATAAACAAACATCCCACATTTAACAGGGCCTGGAGAAAAAAATAAAGATAAAATGCGTGCTCATACCCAGAAAAGGTATTTCTCCTCAACTTTATCCGCTGCTCTTTGTGGCCACAGTCGATTCTTGACAACTTTAGCCAGAATAAAACGTGTGTATTACAAATTCACAGTTAAATTACAT